CATGTGCTTTTCTGAAACAATGCAAATCTGTGGTAGCCTATATGCCGCTAAACTTTCCCAATGAGATGATAGATATGAGAAATCCAATGTTATACTTCGTTGGGTTCTTTTCTAGAATTTACGATCGGATATCACACTACCCTATGCGTAAGAAGGTATAATGTACCGTACCGTATTATTCAAGTAAACACCACACTTTGAATAAACCAACAAGTAAGAAGCTTCCCCCCTCTTTTGAATAAACGTCGCTGGCCGGGTCTTTATTTTTTTAAAAATAATATACGCCTCGAATAATGATTTTGAACATGACTATAATGAAAGTAACATTATTCTATCAGCAGTGTTTCATGCTGGTGCTGTAAACCTCTATAGAGTGAAATGAAGGGACGTTTATTTAGATTTATTCAACATTAAAATAATATACGTTCACATTAAATAGAAATTACGCCACTTACAACTTCCTGTACAATAAAGCCCCGTGGAATTTATTATAAATAAATATATAGGCCTACAACAGATACGGTAACTCAATGCTCTCTTGACAGAGAACAGCGATTTGCGATCATTTTGGCTGCTTTCACATTTTGCGCCTTTTTGTTGACTGCAACATTTTCTTCACAGACATGCAAACAACATAAGATTGGGATGCCTGCGTTGAAAAAAACATAACATGACACGACATGATGAAAGGCATGGAAATCGCCCTATTCAAAAAGTAATTAATTATTGGCAATCATCATCTCTAGCTTTTATTAAGATTAATGAGAAAGGAAACGAATGAATCATCAGAATATGCCTACAATTTAAAAAAACGATGACCCGCTTAAACCAAACCTACCGACGAAAAAACAACGAGTAGGCCACACGCACGAGCCGTAAGCATTACACCGAAACTACTTTGCTTTAACACTTAATCAATCCATTCTTTTTTGCTATAGTAATCAAGGACTCTGTATTGATTTTCGTGATAAATTATGTAAATGCCTTTCAAATCGTGAATATTGTTTCCAACTATCAACATGTGATGCCGCTGTACAGTCTGTAGAAGTTTGTAGAGACATGCCTCGATTCAATTTTATTAATTTATCGGCAATTTATAAACTGGCGAGCAATTTCTAATAGATACATGGCGTGATATATTGTATGCATGGTTAATCTGGTCAGAAACCTATTAATCCAGGTCATCAGAAGAAAAGATGCCGTTGATAATAAACCCTAATGATATTGATAAATAAGGATTGTATCACTATGCGCCTAACTAGTAAAGGCAATGCGCTAAAACTTGTGTTTTTGACCGATCGATTGAAAAAAAAAATAGGGGGTGAAATGAAACAAAAAGAAATATAATGGGATGGGATATCTGCTGTTCCCGTAGCCAGGCAATAAATGAGTCGCGTTGCGATTTAACTTGATCGTGAAGGAATGTTTTTAACTCGATTGCTTGTTAAAATAATCGTTGATGGTGTAACTTAAAAATCATGGTTAATAATCCAGCGTAAACGTAAGCCTACCTTATATCTGGCCTGGTCACTGGCCAACTTAACAGCCGTGGCAAGGCCTATGCCAGACGAGCATCCTGTAATTATCACTGTCTTCTTCGACATCTTTCGTTGAAACTGAACCTCCGTGCATGTAGATTTGGTGTTAATACAAACGGATGAATATGTTACTACTAGACATGTGTCATGTGATCAGAATGACGTGTCAGCAGCGGAGATGTTCAAGATCCGTACAGAAACGCGTTTATACAAGCTTTCAAACTGTTCCCATACAACTTGATAAATGCTGGGTTTGTGAAGTCATAATGACGCACACTGTATAGAGAGGTATAAAAACTGGTATATCTATGTACATATATAGGCCTATGCCTAGGTTATCTCAAGTAATCCGATCACATTAGATTGCCGCTTTATGTGTCCCAACGGCACTCTCGTCTCCATGAGTTCCGGATAATAAGTCGATGACTGCAACATAATGAACCACGCTCATCATAGGCAAAACAAGTGGTAAAGGGCAAAAATAATTAGGACGGGGGTCCTACCAAAGGAGTTTGTTCATGTTACTGGAATATCTTATATAGGTCTTTAGTACTCTAGCCTTAGGCAAGTCAATGGAATTATTATTATCTTTTTTATATCGAGAACTTTGATAATACAGTGCTAATTCCAAACTGTAAAGTAAGGCCTGAGCGGGTAATATCCTCCGCGAAAAAAATTTGGCCTAGAAATCCGTCCGCGCATTTCGGAAATGGCCGATTTCCTGGCAGATTTTGCCGAAATTAGGCTCTGACCTAATCTTATTATACAAACAATGTATTATGTTGCAGTAATTACGATTCTGTGCACCTATTTTCCTAGCAATGTGTCATCCGCGCAATAACACTCTATAGTGGGCTAATTCAATTATAAAGACGTTATTGTCATGTTTCTTACGTACGTTGAAAAATTTTATCCGTCATAGAACAGAAGTCGACCCTTTCAGGGAGTTGTTATAATGTACTATATAACAACTTATGCCTATTATTTGTAATTGGCATTTGTAATAACAATCAATCGATTAATCAATTATTTATTCAATCAATATACAAGATTCAAGGTACGAAATACCTATCTATATTGTCATAGATAAAACGTGTGAATTATGATTTTTTTAAAATCTTTTTTTTTCAAATAAACAACCAAACAAAAATGTAGCATATTAACCTACAAATAGGCCAATTCATATTTTTAATCATTTCAAAATAGGAAGTAAGGTGTCTAAAAAAGTTCAACATTTGCTTGATTCTGATTGGCTAAAACGGTGTCCTCTTTAAGTCCCACAAGCACATGAGTCACGTGTGACAACAACAGCCCCTCACACTTCATCGCCGTGTCAAAAGCACCAGGTAGTGGTGGTCGTTCTACCAGTTACTACTTATTACTGCTGCAGTATGGATCCAAAAGTTACCTTTTCTGATGATATAGACCACTGTATAAATGATTCAAGTGTTCGTTCTGTCCATGTGTATGACCAGCGTGTAGGTGTCAATTATGCTTGGTTCTTTTGTTTAGCCTAGGTTAGAGTAGATAGGACCTAGGCCTAGCTAGAGAGTCTAACTTAGCCGAGGGTCACTATAACAACTTCCTGGCCGAGGCTAGGCCCTCTCCTTCAGACCCTCAATCCTATGCATGCTGCCTACAGGTGGGTTTCGGTGGGTAGGCATGTCATAGTTAAGAATACATGTTAAAACGTTCTTTTAACGTTAAACTTTTTTTGGCCGTAGATAGTATAAATCTAATTATTATAGCTCCATGGTCCAACCAAGTATTTTTCATGAATGTAGGCCTAAATACAGTTCTGTAGTGTAGACGTAGTGTAAAAAATGGGTACTAATACTACTATCTGTAAACCTAGGCCAGGACAAGTATCGTAATAATAGCCTACACAGTAGTCTGTAGATGAACACAATATGTATTGTTTTTATTTCATCAAAGAAATACTACAGTCACAATTCATTTTAAATAATAAAAATCACCACAGATAGATGGATTTATTTTTCTTATTATATATTGAAACATAACTTGAATCAAATTTAGTTCTCAACTAAAGCTCTCTCCCAAATATAAAATGTTCCTTTAAACTAAAAGTTGTTGTATGCCCATATAAGGTCATGATGTACCTATATATGGTCATGATGTGTCTATATATGGTCATGATGTGATCTCATACCACATGCTTTTGATAGTCTAACACACGGCTTAACTGATCTATGTAGAACCGTGTGTCGCAGCACGCAAGGTTTTGGGCTTTCAATCAGAAGATCGGGGGGCAAAGGTATTTTATCTGCATTTGCCTTTCTTCAACCAGGTGTACAGTATATATGGTACCTGGTACAAGGTGAATGATTTGGGATGAAATTAGTAGTACTGTTTACACGCATAACCAGAAATACTCCCCAGGGCGTTTCTGGATATGTTCACTATATAAATCCTACTAAAAAAAAAAAACAATTTTTGATGTCTCTTCTGTAACCATTTCTAAGAATTTTGACTTGTTCTGTCTCTCTTTTGTATTAAGTATGAGTATGTTGATGAATCTACTCCACTCCTTTCATCTGGTCGACATGAGAGTTCTAGAAAAACCACATTTTGGTTTTCCGTCTTCAACTTGATGAACGCTATTCTTGGCAGTGGTATTCTTGGATTAGCCTTTGCCATGGCAACATCAGGAATTATTTTATTCAGGTGAGGTACATAGATTCAACCCTGAGTATAACAGACCCACAATCCACCCCCATATTACTCCTGGTCTTCATCCCTTCATTACACATTTTTTCCTACTCGCCCCTTCGCAAACAATCTGTTTCAAATTTTATTGCCCCTTTTAGTACTCTCCAACACCTCTTCCTCAGAATACCACTCCCACTCTATTTAAATTTAACCGATTCACCTAAACTCAGATATCTCTTGCCATTTATTATTTTAAATTATTAAACATTGTAGTACTGTAATTACGTTACTATGTAAATGAATGCTGAAGACCATGTAAAATAGATTCTTTCATATTTAAAATTTCCCCGCAGTATCTTGCTGGTTTTAGTGGCATTTCTAGCAAACTACTCAATCAAACTCCTCTTACGAATGTGTCAAACAACTGGAGTAAAATCATACGAAGACATTGGCTTACATGCCATTGGACCAGTAGGCAAGGTAAGTAACCTTACTTAATTGTTGGAATATGATTTACATTTAATGAAATTTGAACATATGTTTAATACAAAATTATTATTATTATCCCTCTCCCCCCCCCCCCTCCGAGGTGCTAAACCCTTGTGAAGCTATTGTTTTATTCTATTCTTTTAAGTTACATTTGGTTGTATTGGTGTGTCTAGCTTGGTTTCCATACAATCACTACAAGCTCTCGCCGACACAGCTTTCGGTGATGCTGATTGGTCGGTCGAATCGAGCAGCCTTCCCGATTGCGTCGGGGACTGCCTCCGCAGTACAACAATTGCACTGAAAACACTGTAGTGATTTTATGGAAACCAGGCTTTAGTAAATCTTTTACCATGATTGATTTTCTTTGACAAAAAACTGTACACCCATATATAGTTATGATGCTCCGGTATATGGTCATTATATGATGTCATCATGACCATATTTAGACATGTCACATGTGTTTGTCAAATAAAATTTGATAGTCTGGACAGGGTTTAAGTAATATTAATATTTTTATTTCATTATTCTAGATTCTTGCTGCAAGTGCAATTATGGCTCAAAATATTGGGTGTAAGTTTTCATCTTATATCTTAGAAATGCAATATAATAAAACTTTATTACAATCAAAATACATTTACAAAATTTACAGTATTACAACACTGTTGTTTTAAAAGATGAAAATGCTAACCCTTGAAATGTCAACTTTATTGTGTCCCATATAATATTATACCGTATGCGCTCAAGCGCAAGTCTGTTCTTAAACACAAAATTTGAATCAAGTTTAAGAGGTGGGCTTAACTAAGGCCTACCGTCGATCCAATTGCTGAAGGCAATACAAATGTTCATAATGACACAAATTAAAACAATTACGGAATAGTAAATTTCAAATACATAAAGCTTGGTTTCCATAAAAATCGTTATACGCTATCGCCGATTCTTTTGACGAGGCTGATTGGTCAGTTGAATCAGGGAGCGTTCACAATTTCATCGGCAGGGACAGCTATACACAGTGCAAGGATTGAAGACGCTGAAGCGAATGTGTAGCGATTTTATGGCTTACGACATGGCCAAAAGTCGATATTGGGCATATTATCAGAGAGGCTCTGGCAGACAATCAAATAACTATTAGCATAGCTCTGGCTATGCAGACGACAATTCAATTGCCTTCTGTTTTTTCCAGTTTCTTGGCACAGGGACTAGCCTGGACCTCGTTCATATTTTGTTGTCAATATAGGCCTACATGTACACGACAATTCCTGAAGACCAGAAAATGTACACAATATTAGGCCAACAATTGAATTACTGTATCACTCTTTTATAGCAGCTCAGTATAGGCCTCCCAAAATACTGGGTCTGGGTTAAACCTAGGTACCTGAGGACTAGTTCTACCTAGCATCAGACCCGAGTGCCGTAATATTTTACATGAAAATTACTCAAGCGGTATTGGGTTGGATTATACTGGAGAATGACGGTATTCATTTGTTAACTTTGTTTTTTTTTACATTGGTTTTAGCAATGTCAAGTTATCTTTTTATTGTAAAAGATGAACTTCCAAGCATTCTAAGTACATTGATAGGTGATCAAGATGCACATTCTAGGTAATGTATACTGTTAAAATTTACCATTTGGAGGTTATGATGCAGTATAATAAATAAATTAATGGCTACAAATGCTAATATTATTCATTTGCAATAGAGACAACTCAAAGTTTGTAAGTTATCATTCTTGTCATCATTATTACTCCCATCATCAATATTCATTATCATGGTGAAGAACCATAATGATGATGGCACCAAGGAAGTCTAAATTCAGCTTTTTTCTTTAATTTCCACAGGTTTTTTTTTGTATGTTTATGCAATAAATTAACTGTATTCAAATAAAATTTTATTCTAATTTCCCTAAATATGTTATTCTTCCTGTTGTGGTTACTGATTACAGTACTTAACATGAATTTGTTCATTATCACATAGCAAAGCCAACCAGTAGGTTGATTGCAATTTCACACTGTAAACATATGGAAATTGGCCTTGCCATATGATATGAATCATTATGATAATTATAATAATGAAGTAAAATTCTTAAATAATGTATGTATGTACTGTATATAAGTTTCAATGTTATCTGTCATATACTGTACAGGTACTTTCAGAGAATTGTTGATATTTATGCCAAGCAAAACATGAGTTGAGTAAAATTGGCCAAGCAAAACATGAGTTGAGTAAAGTGTATGTATCTTTCTCACTAAGTTGCATATATCAAGGCAATTCAACAACAGGATGCACATCTCCACTAGCGAACACAGCGTTTGTGTATAGTCCTTTGATTTTAACTGTGGCATCGGCAATCCAAGATTAGTTTTACCTGTACAGCCGTCAATTATTAGTCTATGCGTGCCACACATTTTACAGTTTTAGTTACCATTTTATTAATTTTTGGGTAATCCGCAATATTGTCTGTTACATCTGACTTCTTTTGACCACAAGCTTGTTAAGTGCTTCTGTAAACTACAATTTGATTCTTGAAAATTGATCAACAAAATTAAAAGTTATGGCAAATGAAAATTTATGATTTGTAATAAAATTCTTGTTCTTATATAACATTAAACTGTAATTTTGACAGTGTTGGACTAAAATGTACAAAATAAACATTTATTTAATTTTTCTGCGAAGTGAGTCTCATGAACCACCCGACCCCACCTGATCATAAATAAAGAAATAAGGAATATAATTTCAGTCAATGTTAGTGCAAAAAATAATTAGGGCTTTGTAATCCCAGCACGACACGCAGTTACCATGGCAACTGACACTCATGTGGATATTTCGTCACATGCTGACAATATTAATTCTGGTTTGTATGGGTTTTTGTGATGATCAGGGCATGTTAAACAGGAATTCTTATTTTTCACATCCCCCTTCCCCCAATACCAAAACCAGCCTATTTCCCTGTGAGGGATAATACATGCAAAGTCCAGTAGAAAAGATTTATTTCCTTACATTGATACTATACTTACCTGGATGAATAATAATATTCACAAATGTATCTTCAATACACATTGATATTTATAAGTTATGTGGTATTATTTCCACACCCACCCACCTATCTCAAATTTACAGAGTAGCTATATGTGATTAAGTAATATTAAAAATACATGCAGATATATTATACAAACATTTCTTTTGCTATAGATTTCTCCGCTCCCCATATCTAGAGCGGTCAATATTTGTTTTATATACCTCATACATAGATTCTACGAGACCTAAAAAATTAATGAAAATTGAACACACAATAATTAGGAGGCTTACTTACTAGGCCTAGACAGTCAGAGAGCCAATCTCCCTCAGCGTCGTAGAGGTCGTGTCTCCTTTACCATTTGTACATAGCAATGCAGCCTAGAGATTGCACATCGCGCGGCAGGACAAAAAAGTGCTATGCCATAGGGAAATAGTACATACTTTCTATAGTTTCTATTGCCTGCTTCTTAACCAATCAGATGCCTAGAATCTATGTATGTGGTATATAAAAAACCACTCTTAGTGTGACTTTGGAAATTGTGGTGCTTCCTAGTCAGAAAGGCTTCTCAACTGTCCAATATTTTCACTTCATCAAAATTTTCTTTTGGGATGCTTAATTTCCTACTACACTTTCTTTCAATTCTAATGAGATATTCTGGAAATTTAGGCAGAACCAACTCCCAAATTCTTTCTGAAGGAGGCTTGCCCGGTACACTTTCTGTCTTGTCATATATAGTCTTAGAATACTCGGTTATAATGACTGATGCATCCTTTCTCAAAATAGCAAACTCTTTAAGAAATGGTTCATACTTATTTGAAACATATATTACTATTTCATGGCAGTTTGACACCGGATCCTCTGGTGAAATGCTGATTTCCTGGGATTCAGGTTCTGCTGTTGGCAACTGCATTTCTATTTTTTGAAAAATTGTTAGTGCCTTGCCGAGAAATTGCCTCCAAAGCTGAAACCACAGCACAAGGGACCAGTCAAACCTATTAATTTCTTCATCTAGATCTGTTGGCCTCCAGCCAGAAGCAATTGGAACTTTATAGTACTGGCCCCACACATTCATTGTTCTCATCAGGAATGAAGGAAACACGCCCTGCCTTAATGTGGCTCTGATGTACTGTATAATCTCGATGCAACATGTCACAGTATCTGGAGTTCCTGAGCACAGCTTGTCATATTCATGAAAAAGAACTGCATTTTTAAACACATAAGAAGACAAGTTAATGTCTTTTATTGGTCTGTTGGTATCTGTGCCATGTGTAAAAATATACTTCAGCAACTTGTAGCATTGTTTGTGGATGGGGTTGAGATGGCTCACCAGAAAGACCTCTGTAGTGGCATGGGAAATGTGGAGATAAGGTGCATTAGGTGATTGCCCTGACTCTTTACACACAAGATGGAACTTTCGATTTTCCAGAATTTCAGCTATGTGGGTTGGGAACCCATGGATGTCACTTAAAAGAGAAAAGTCCTCTACAGAAACTGCTGGCATTATATCAACATCAATATCCAGTGAATAGTGTGTTTCTAAATGTATGTCCCTTTCACAAAGTCCACTATAAATATCAGGTCCCTTATACTCATCCTTGAACTTGTGCCATTCTAGTTTTAGAGCTAGAAACTCTGAACCTTTCAAGACTAAGATACCTTGTGGTGTCAACATTTTCTTCTTTGACAAGGGCGTAATAACCTCACCGAGAACCTTAATGAATTCTCTACGCACCCCCACATGGTGAATGCAGCAAATATCATCATAGAGCTGTCTAATTATGTAGAACATTCTATCATCATCACTTTTGACATTAAGAAAAGCTACCATGTAGCCCGGTTTACACCCATCAACACCCTCTATCCATATGTTTTCCTTCCTAGAAAGGAAATCAAAGCACACCATAAAGTCAAACTCATTTGGAGAACAGTTCTTGGTTCCCTCTACAAAACTGCCAACACTTATGACTTCCTTGATATTCAGGTGAGGTTTTCTTCTTCCTATCTCATCCATCACATGTTGAACGATTTGTTTTGTTGCTCTGTATATGTGGTCAACAGTGTCTGGGTCTGAGTGAAGGTTACAATACGTCTGGTCGACATGTTTCAGAAACTCCTTGAGTGCCATCTATTTTTGTTTGCGTGTGTCACTGTAAAGAGAGAATAACATATGGCATTAAAATCTCCACCAATGCTAATTACACTACAGTGCTACTAGTACTACTTTCAAATACAACAATACCCAGTGGTGTATCTAGGGGAAAAAATCTAAAAGTACCTTGATATATCAAAAGAAAGGATCCAAAATTTCAGCTTCAATTTCCAAGCGGTTTTTAAAGCACAACCTTTTGAAATTTGGTACTACACCCCCTTTTTTCATTCAGGCAATGGTTCCTTTAACTTTGTGCAGTTTTTATGAAGCTATCTTCTGGAATAACAGCGATGAATTTTGTTTTGCTACATAATACCAATATTTGACTCCTCTTTCAGGAAGTACCATTCAAAATTACCAAAAGTTCATAAATTAAAAACCACTTGGAAATTGAAGCTGACATTTTGAATTCTTTCTTTTGACATCAAGGTATTTTTAAGGAAAATCCAAGGGTAGGGGGTCACATGACATGGTGGTTAATTTTAGCCAGGATGACCCCATACTTTGCGACCTAGCGCCCCCTTACTACTATTACCACTCTGCTGCTGCTACGACCTCCACTACTTACCATATATACTACACTGCTAACTGTAAAACCTCGAATAGAATGCTAATGGGCTTAATCTTGAATACAAGCCCATGGGATTCTAATCAAGATAGTATATTATAGACTTCTTTTCGAGCTAATACTTACATTCAGACAGACGTTATGTTTGATTATGTTGATGATCATTGTGATCCTGTGTGAGTATCAATATATTATCTAGCATGGTTAAAATTTAAAAAAAAACAGAATTTTGAATCCCAAAGTTGAAAATGTTGTATATTCGTAGTAATACCATATATTTACAGCATTCATTTTGAAAAGAAGCCCACTCTTTAGTTTGTCTCGAAAAGAAGCCCTCGGAAAAGAAGCCCATCCAAGGGTCCTATAAAAGCCACCCAGAACTTCTATTCGAGATTTTACGGTATCATTAAGTACAGTAGTATATTACCACCATTGACTACTTAGTCAAATATCCAATCCAATCTAAGTCTCAATGCACCAAGGGAGTGCTCAGGAAAAAGGGAACGAAGGGAACAGTTTGGAAGAAAAAAGTATACAACTCCTACCTCAACAAAATTCACTCTGTAGGACCTAATTATATTGCAAAGATCATTTCTTGATGTTGCGTTGTACAATAATTGAAATTTTATGCTGAGGAAATTCCACAGGTTTTATTTTTAGCTGCCTGTTTTTTGTTCTTTAACAATAGGCCTTTTCCACGAATCGGTAGACATCTTGAGGTGATTACAAACAACCCAAGTCAATGGTGCATAACTAACAGAAATAAGATAAGCATTGAGGCTAAATTCTTGTCCTCATGTTATCTAAAAATTCATAACTCCATAACAGAGGGTCGTATCACATTAATTTTTTCTGGAAAATGTTCTCAAAAGACTATTCTTCACCAATATATGAATAAAAAAAAATATTGAAAAATGTTTTTGACCTCTGAAATCAAGATGGAAAAAGAAAAGTCTATCTAAGTAGTGTATTAAAATAGTCATTAGGGTCATAATGCCAAAAGTTAGTTGAAATATACTTATGTCACAGACTTTTCATTGAGCTAAGCCACTGGATAAAGAATGCTCACCGTTTGTGTGCTGCTTGTGATTGTTACACCAAATGTCAAAGTTCAAAGGTCAAATTCTCAACATGATCCAATTTGTGCTCAAATTTACCAGGAATGATCTGACTGGGTTCATGTTTTACTGAACATAATTTCTAGTAAATTTAAAAATGCTATTTTAAGGTGCTTTTTTATGTTTATGCAATAAATTAACAAATCAGATTTAATATTCTTAATTTACTACAGCAATTGGTATCTGAATGGCAACTATTTATTACTGATTGTGGCATTGACCATTATTATACCGTTGGCATGCTTACCCAAGATTGGTTTTCTTGGCTTCACCAGTGGATTCTCCATCCTGTTCATGTTATTCTTCACTGTTGTGGTTAGTAATTATTTAATGCTAATTAGTCATTAACATACTGCAAAGCCAGCTAGTTGGTTGACTTTAATTTTCCACTGTAAACATATGGGAATTGGTCCTGCAAGTTGATATGGATCGTAGATTATAATTATAATAATAAAATAGTATACTTAAAAAGGTGTACAGTATTTTCATGGACACGAATGATGGCGGAAATGAAATTGGTCTCATTAATGCAACATTCCATTTACACCATGCAATAAGTACCATCAACATAAAAAAGATCATAGTAAAGCGATACAAACGTATTGGCTGTTTATTGTACATTCAATAAACAATGTAATTAGACAGCTACTTATTGAATTTTGATTTCATCTGAATTGTGTGATTGATTTATTATTTAATTCCCTTTTTCTAGGTTGTTGTCAAAAAGTTTATGATACCTTGTCCCACAGACTCAAATGTAACAATTTCAGAGGAGTTTAAGGTGCTTGCTAACTTCTCAACAGACCAGTGCAAAGCCAACTACTTTACATTATCACTTAAGGTTTGTGAAGTTTATTCTTAACTGATATTAAGGAAACATATGTGTCTCCTAACATTGAGTTCAATATTGCTCCAACAATGGACTAATTATTTCAGAATAAAAGGAAATCTCGGATTTTTAATTGTTTACCTCATGTTCTATTGTCATTTGTGTATTTAATAAAAAAATGTATTCAAGAAATTAATTGCCATTTGCAGGCTAAAAACATTGACCACTCAATGATGATGGTGTGCTACTTTTCATTAGTATTATTTTTTTAATGGCATTATAGTGTAATTATAACATTTAATAATAAACATTTTGCATACAAGTTTGTATTTTGCTTTTTCAAGATAAGAAATGTTCAGAACACATGATTGTACCCTAATGTTTATTAGTATTATTTTTGAAACATGCTTAATATAAAATTCTAGCAGTAACATATGTTTAAAAGTCACGCTTCATAAGCATTTATCAGCATTCACACATCAGCAGTTGACCTTATATGGTGATTGGAGGGAGTTAAGAGTGGTCTGGTAAAATGCTGCCTGAAAGAAGTTATAGTTCTTAACTTGGGATTTTAATTCCATCTTTTTTTCTTTTTTTTTTCAAAATAAATTTTTTAATTCAATCAGTTTCCTTTATCATATATTTTTTTACAATTCTCAATTCAAAGATTGATTGAAAAGGCATCAATTACAAGCAAGCTTTAAGTTGTGATGCCCTACAAAGAAAGAACAATAATAACTACAAAGTAAAAATAAAAAGATAATAATAGAATCAATTTATAAATCAAAATTCTTTAAAAAAAGTGTAATGATGATCTTGCATAATAATGCTTTGCTTGTTTTTCCACAGACTGCCTATGTGCTTCCAACGATGGCATTTTCTTTTGTCTGCCACACAGCAGTTCTTCCAATTTACTGTGAACTTTCAAAGTAAGTTGGAAAAATTTCTATTCTGTAAACTGCTTATATGTACAAATAGATAAATAATATACAGTAGTTTGTTGTATTCTTAATATTTTACTGAAATAGGTTTGATTACAAATAAGTAAGTTTTGAGTTGGTTTAGATGAACTTCAGTGTTAATAGCTTCCACACTTGTCAGTTGTGCAATACATTTACAGTTTGGGAAAAAAACATTGTCGTGTAATTAATAATTATTTAAAAAGGCAACCTTTCTAAAATTCTGGAGCATCATACAAAGATTAGCATATTTATAAAGTGAAAAATATAAGAAAATATACCCTGTAGAAATGTTGTAAAATAAGAAGTTAGGACAAAGTTATTGTAGCTTTAGGCGGTGTAAAAGCAGTCGTCAAGGCATCAATACATTGATACTCAATGTTGCAAATGTTATGGATTACTCATTTTCTTTTATGTTTCCTTTTCTTAAGGCCCACATTATCTCGCATGCAGAATGTTGCAACAACATCTATAGGCATCAGTTTTGTGATGTACATTATTTCTGCTCTGTTTGGCTATTTAACTTTTTATGGTAAGTTGAATTTGGCAGAGAAGGGTAGAATGTATGATGTCTCACTACGTATTACGTTAATGATGATGAATGTGAGGATGATGTAGGAGTTGATAATGTAGTGATGGTTATGATGATGATATTGTTGATCATGTAGTTATGTTTAGACTTTCCACAAGTATCTAATTTATTGATTTTTCCTAGTACTGTATTAGCTAATTTCGGAGCACACCACCAGTGTTTATGTTTATGTTGTTATGTTGTAGAATTTGGATGCGATTTATAATCCCGAAAAAGTATAGTATGGAATGCCATGCAAATAAGTAATGGAACGCCACTGGTGCCAAAATTGATATATTTTTAATGGTTTTCACTGATTAAGACAAAATTAGGGACGTCTTGTTATGCTTATGAGGTAGTGGGGATTATAGTGGTGATGATGGTGATTTATTTATTTATTCACAATCTTTAACCAGGTTGGCCCAATCAGTCAAGTAGACTGGTCTTCCTTGGGTCCCTGGGTACAACAGTTGTTAAAATATAAAGTAAAACATTTAGCTAAAATACAACAATAGACATATAAACTATATAAAGATATAAATTAACATGAACAAAATAAAAATATAGAATATAAAATAAGAGCCTAAAGTAATAATGCTTTAAAGTTACTGTTAGAAAATTTAAATTATGTGGTAGTGATGGTAATTTTGTGGTTCTGATGGCGGTGATCACAATTACAGATACTATGTTACTTTTCCTGTTGATATGTGTGTTGATTCCTTATTCTTATACCCTGTATTAGGTAATGTTGAAAGTAATCTGTTAGAAAGCTACACAAACAGTGATGACAAGCTGATCCTGATTGTAAGGTTTGCCGTTGTGTTGGCCATTGTGCTCACTGTGCCTCTTGTCCATTACCCTGTAAGTCCTTGTGTAGTTTTCATTTAAATTTATAAACAATAAAACTCATTTTTATAATTACATACATAGTGTATTGAGTGTGCAGAGCCAACCTATAATTTCTGTTTTCCATATTTTTTTATTCATTTACTTGTAATTTTCTTTACCTGAACCAAACTGATTCTAAAAAGAGGTACACTATCTCATAAATTCTTTAGTGCTTCTTAAAAATGTAAACATCCTGACCTCTTGATCTTGTTATAGGATGTGATGCTGCATGACGCCTTGTATATCTAGGCACAACCTGCATAACTGTATTTGCTTTTACTTCTACAGACACGGAAAGCTCTACTAATGGTAGTGAATATGCTGTTTCCAGGGACAACAGGCTTCTCCTGGTTCAGGCATTTGGCTGCAACTGGTGTTCTGATGTCAATTGGACTATGTCTTGCCATTTTTGTTCCCGATCTTAAAGAGATATTTGGATTTGTTGGTAAGTCATCTTATATGTGCATTCCACATAGTGTAAGTGGGCAATAATTCCTACTCTTTTTCCCATTAATCAAGTTCTTTAATGTCCAAGTCTAGATGCTTTCAGTGTGCTTTCAGCTAATAAATTACCCAGAATGCAATAATCTCATTAGTGCACATATTTTGGTCACTACTACTGTACTAAGCTGAATCCAACACTATGTAATGTTTAATAATGCAATAATCTCATTAGTTCAATGCGCATACTTTGGTCACTAGTACAGTCCTAAGCTGAATCTAACACTACAGTATGTAATGTTTAGTAATGCAATAATCTCATTAGTTCAATGCACATACTTTGGTCACTACCACTAAGCTGGATCTAACATTATGTTATGTTTAATATTATGCTTACTATTGTTATTCACATATTTTAGATTATTCACAAATGGTTGTGTTTTTTAGGTGCTATAGCCTCCTCTAGTTTGGTTTTTACACTGCCAGCATTTTTCTACCTCTACCTCGGTAAAGAACCTCGTCTATCCAGGCAAAAGATTCAGGTGAGTGCCCTTTAAGTTACATGGTTGAAAGGTGGGTGGGGGTGTAGGCTGGAATTTAGTTTTCATGTTGTATAAATAATTAAAATTAACACTCAAACAGTCATTGGCAAGTCAAGTGGTAGAGAGGTAAGGCGGGGATGCCGATAATTACAATCTTAACATCGGGGCTGTCAAGCTGCTCCTCATTGAGGGTTGGGTTGGTGGAACCAACTCTTCTCAGATAAGGACTAAAAATGGAGGTCCACTGTACACATCTGGCTTGTGTGTACTTTAAAGAACCCATTGCATCTTTCTGAAGTATAGGGGGAGGGGCTACCCTGATGTTATTGTTCATTTCAGCCCCTTTCATTGTGGAATGATGAATATGTAGCTATTATAAGCCCCTGTTTATGGCAGCTAGGTAGTCATGGACCACGCACATACGCAATTCAGCGCAATTTAGCGAGTGAATAATGAGTTATTCTCCTTCCTTTACCCTAATGAAGCAAATAGGTGTAGCAAGTAGATATAGCCGTGCCAGTCTAAACAGTATTATCAGGTTATAATGAGTGATAATTTAAACTGAATTATCTAACTAATTATAAAAAAACAAATTTGTAACAATTTCTTTTTTTCTCCATGTAGGCCTTGCTTCTATTCATCACCGGTATAATTCTAATGTTGACAAGTCTTGGTGTGATAATTGATGGTATTCTGAATGGCAATTGATAGTGCTTTGACAGTAGGGGAGGTGATGTTCTCAATAAATTATTTTACCAAGTTAGAATCAGTATGATTGATTAGTAGTAAGATTTTATATAGTGCTTAAATGACATCATTCCTTATTGAAATAAAGAGTTAAATTATAAAGTATTATAGGCCAGTGAATTGTAGTAGTAATATTAATGGAGTAGTTGTAGAGAAACAGTACAGTACTTTTGTATTCAATAGTTTTATATTTCATCATATCATAAACTATTTTTGCACAATGTTTCTATTGTCCTTTTTCATTATGAAAATATACTATATTATTCAAATTTTAATGACGTTTAATGAATTTTACTCAATTTGATTATTTACTGGTACTTATTTTGTATAACTTGTTTTAAATTATGTATTCTTATAATTGTTTAGTGAAAATAAGGCATGGTGTATCACATGCCTCATTTCTTGTGTATCTTAGTCTCTGTATTCCAATTAAGCATGTGCAATTTAGGATTACTGGTATATATTTATTATTTAAAATTCCTTGCACACTGTTACAATATGTGGTTCTAAAGCCATGATTCATCTGAATACTTAGCTGTGAAATGTGGTTGATCAAAATTCCTGTACTTTGATAATGAATACCTCTTTACATGGTGACAGTCTGTGCAGATCTTTGCAGGACAACTATGAATAGACACTCATGTATGCATCAGGGAGCTAAAGTGTATTGAGACTAGCATTTTTAGATATATAATAACTATTCATGCTGTATTC